GGAGTGGAGTATGTTCGCGGAACAGGCTGAGTCTGAGGACGCGAAGCTGAGTTGATATAGCGGCAATGGATACTGGGATGACTGGGGAACTCCTCCTGAACCTCGGCCAATAAGCCAAGCGTACCGTTGTTCGGCAAAGGCGGTTCAGCCTTGGTCAGCAGGGAAGACTCGACGGTTCTGGTCGGCTCAATGGAATCAGGCAATGAGATCGGAGCAGAAGGATGTGCAGCGCAGTTTTGAGGAGAGTGTGGCCGCTGCAACATCTCGTGATCAGAAGCGTTGAAGTGCTGACGACAACTGCCACAGAGTCCCATCGATCGGCCCGCGTGCGAGGAGGTCCCGTCGTAGGAGACCGAAAAACTGAGACAAACGTAACAGAATAATCGGCCGCAGTCTCTGAAAGATAAACCAAAAATCAATATTACATCATTGGCTGTCGGCCATAGAAATCACTATAAGCTAAGTAACTGGCATGAGGTCGTAAATGCTATGGCTGTAATTAGAACGTTTGCTCAGGATTTATAATAATATATGCATGGGCAGTAAAGTTAGTGAAACAACACCATAAAACCGAAGTCCTACCAGTGTGTCTCTACATGGTAGTTATTCACACCAGTAGAGGCAGACACCGATCGGGCAAGTGGAACAGACCAAACTAGTCCCGTCATCCGGTAGTAGAAGCCGTGGACGGGTGGCCAATTATAAGGCAGTGAAGAGACGAAATAAATATCAGATAAGTGGAAATTCCCGATAGCAATTGGCAGGGTAATGGGTCTGTGGCTCCGTGGAAGATTGCAGGTTCGAATTTCAGGTCATGCAAACCTACGGATGGTTAAGGCTGGCTGACGACAACCAATAACTAGGAGGGCTTTGGCAGATTTGAATAATTCGATTGATCCAATTGTGAAAAGGGGAGGCTTGAGAACAGCCAACGTTTTAGCCAACTGGGATATCGAGGCCCCACGGCAGCCGTGAATTTAATCACACATGAGTCAATTTACCCGTCCATCCTACTGCAACGTAAGGAAACCATCTCGATAGCTCAGTTGGCTAGAGTGTCGGCTGTACTCAAGCCTTTCCTTGCTGGTGTGGGTTCAAATCCCACCGAGGTCGCCGAACTTTTCACAATTGGGTCAATTGAATTCTGCAAATCTGCCCGCCCAGCTTACTTCAACTTATGTAATCCACCTACACTGATACAGTAAGATGACTGCCCACGCAGGATTTTCTGAGCAATCTATCTAGAATCCAATAGATGACTACCAGGTACCTTTAATTATTAGGAGGGGTTTGGACAAGTAATAAGCCAAAAAATGGTCAGTCCAGTCTTCCTTGTCCTCGTCGTTACGTCCTTTCAGTAAGGCTATCGGAAGTAA